TTAGGTGCTTTTGATTTTTCTCCTCTGCGTGTTTTATGAAACATTTCTCTCCATCACTCGACTTGGAGTACAATAATTTTGCTCAATTTTCTTGAGTTTTGCTTTGTAAGAAACCTCATTCAGTGTGCTGAGGTGGATTGTATCAACTTGATTTGAGTCGCGTAGGGGCGATAACAAATCAAGTACAACAAAGCTTGAAGGGTGTAATTGACGAGTAACTACTCCATCGTCGAAAATACTGGAGTAATTTCGCTGAAGTGCCACCAGTTACCTGATCGCATACATGGGTAAAACAACTTCCAGCCCATGTTATTTCCGATGGGTCTTCTAATCTGTGATCACGGCCGATCCCTTGGCCCTCATCATCGAAGATGTTACGTGCCATCTAAATTGAATCTTTACTCAGCGTTTTCACGGTTTCTAGCCATGCCACCACCCGGTCACCCTTGGCAATCGGTGAACTGGGGTACCGACTGCACATATAGACCACGTTGGTGCCCAACACTCCAACTCTACGAGCGACACCTTATAATCCATCAGGGTAATTCATATTATGTACATAATGAGGTACAGGTCCGCAGCCTGGTAACCGTTCAACAGACCTGAACATTACTCATTCAGCGCTCTCACTACATATATATGAATCGCTCCACAAACACTGTTGATCATGGACGGCGCAGTCACCCGTCTCCGACCCATGGGAAAACTTAAGCTTCCCCACAGCATCATTCACTCCACCCTTGAATGGTTGACTTATTTGTCATCCTTTGTAATATGCCACTGCTTTCGTCGGCATGGGCTGTAGTTTTGATGAAAATAATCTGAATATATGTGCCCGATGTTACCTTCGAATGACTTCCCCGTGTTTACAAGAAACAGTTGCATATCGATCGGTTCATCCGATTATGTCTTGCACATCGGCGGTGTAGAACACATGTCGATGTTACTGCTCTTTTACCTCTTCAAAATAGTTCACCAAGAACCTGCGTTAAGTTATCAAGAAGTGTATCTTCTGCGCGAGTTGAGCTTGAAGTCAACCACCCTATCGCAGTCGCACTCAACCATAAGTGATCATTTCCTTTGAAAGGTGGCGGACCTGACACAGCGTACTTTCGGGATTAATCTAGCGGATAGTTTCCTACAAACCTGCATGCAATTTGGAAAGTTCGCGTTCTCGACATGTTCCTCAGAAACAGACAGTGTCACAGACATATGCGATCACCTGAATCGTAGGCGACTTTCAGTCACGCACGAAACTCGGATTGAGTTCTCTCTGTTTGGCTCTGCCTATCCTAGCTTAGTTTCTGGGGGGCATCATCCCTTCGTACTCTTCAGCGGTCCCGAAATGGAAAATATCTTCTGTGGCATTTGACTAGGGGATCAACTGACATGTTGTGAGCATGTCCTATACGAGACGGATGCAGACCTTATCTCAACTGACTACACTTTCTTGTATGCCGGTAAGTCGTCAGAATTGTGTATGTGAATAGTTCGCTGGCATTGGTTATTACTCGCCGTTCTCGGTGGATACTAAGGATAAGAGCGACTGTCAGCAGCTACTACCCGAAGACATTATTACGTGTCATATGGTAATAATAATAGTAATAATAATAATAATAATGTGTCAGCTGTACGCCGTAATGGCGCTTCGCTGCCGTGCGACCACCACCAGTGTCATATAGTACCAAAGGGAGTCAACGGACCTGACCCAATCTACTCGTCGAGCGCGGATTTCCATTGTTTATGGCGTCTTTGGTGATTGGCTCATTCCTGTGTCCTTATCAGTTAATGTGGTGACTTTGATTTGAGCATTTCCGATCAGTCTGTGCATTTCGTCTCTTGTCGCACATTCAAAAACCACAAGAGGGGTGTTGAGCACCATCGCATCGAGTGCTTTGGCTGATCTTGTTACTTTGGTTTAACTTGTCTACGGTCTCAACGGATCAACTTGTGTATGCATCCGCATCCATATGCGTTGATAAGGTTGCTTGTGTCTGACTGATTCCTACAACCAATCTACTTTTCATAAATGAGCTAATTCTCTATCTCCATTTTACACAGTTGTGCCAAACTCTTGGTTCTGTATCGGCCACTCATCTATTGTTTGAGTGCTGTTTTCCACGCAACTGCGTTTTATGCCCTACTCTTGTATCCCTTACGCTAACTATTGCTCGGTTTGGACTGGGATTGAGTACACTTGTGCGACTTGGGTTCGATTGAAGCTACACCAGTAACTCAGCACTTTCCTTGTCTACTACTACAGCTTTCATTGGTGCACTGTTCGTGGACAAAGACTTGGTGTGGGTGGAACGCTTCTGCCAAGTTTGCTTCTGGCCACGTCTGGTGGAATTCATACTTAAGCAGGAGTGGAATGATGCCAAATCGAAGTTGCAACAGTGCTGTTTAACATTCCGTTCACTGCACGAGGACCCGGAGATAGCACACTACAGAGTGAGTTTATCATCCCAATATACGTATTCCCCATCTGATTACAGATAATGTGCCATCAGAACCATGGCGAAATAAAAGAGGGAAACAAAGTACAACGTGCGAAAACAATTTTTTCGGTTTATGCACGCCGTTTAAAGGATTTTTTGTTTTGGTGTTTTATGTTCGATGAGACTAATTAATAAATAACGCGGTTGAACAGTACTGTCTCCACTTATGCCTGTTGCACGCCATAGCCTCCAACGTTTCTAACCACTGGCAGTCCTAATCGCGTAGTCATCATCCATCCTGGAAGGCGGACCGGTCCGACGGATACTAAGATTGGGGTTACATTCTTCCCAATCATGGACAACAATCCACCGGCGGTGATTTATTAATTACATTGGATATTGTGTGTCCCCGAATGAAGCCCGTTTCATTTCGTATTATCCTTTGTGTAAATGGTTGTTAGAAGTTACGTTTGATGCCATTTCGCCCTTGCACTGCAGTCCGGGAGTAGTATTTGAATACACAACTCCTTCACAGACATTCTCCTACAAACGTTTTGATCCGTTGCAGACCAATTCACACTAGTTATCTGCATAGTTGTTTTCGCCGTAAATACCAGCATTCCACCTATATCTCTTTTTACACCAGAGATTCCATTTCGTACCGAATCTTTCACTCTTTGAACCTATCAACAGATTTACCGACAACGCTTTGTCTATCCTTTCTCTAACACGTATGCAGGATAGCATCCTCGTGCTACATCTATAACTCCATCATGGATGTCGAATATCTCACCTCCACTTTTCAACCGGGCCATTAGTTCGAGGTGTTTGCGGTGCTGCAGCGGTTTTTTTCAACACACCGACTGAAGACAGGCACGAGCGGATAACCACCAATTTCGCAACTAGACGTAAACAGTAGATTGTTGTCTTAGCTACGACTACTGTTCTCTGTCTCGGCGTACGTTACACCAGACGACGAACGATGCGCCACTAACTGCAACTGTTACCTCACATCGAGACGAGTCCGTATGGGTCGACTGAGCCCGCCCAAATTGCCACAATCGCTATAACGTGTTTCGTCAAGTCCTACCCTAATAGCTGCCTCACCGATTGCACACGGGACACTCAGCATACCACTGTTCATTACAGATGTCCAGTAGGCCATGCTGCCATCGGGTACACTTTTTATTTCAAAATTATGAACCAACCCAATCATGTTTACACATCGTCATGTACTTATGTGTAGCCTGAGTGACTGACTGTAGCAACGACTGTACAGCGTATTTCTGCCTCGACATATACCACGAGACAACACGGTTGATCACACTCAGAACTGATTTGCTACTAAACGAGAGACGGCCACAGCACGATTGTATAGTGTGATCAACAACTGTTGTGCATTACTGAATCCGTTGACTACCTTATCTCCATTGTCATGTTAGAAATTGTCTCACTGAAGTTTAAAACAGTTAGTCCCGTTCAGTAGTTTGAACAACGAAATGAGAAGACGAATATTGGCAGATGCTAGCATTTCGTATTATCTCATCAGTACCAATACAATAACTGGGAAATCCTTTTATATGTCTTACAGGGCACAGTCAAGCCAATCAAATTTATGATTGTGGTCACTGAAGTTTTGCTGCCACAATTTCGACCATGACTGGAATTTCATATCATTTTTCAACGCGGTTGGACTCCATCATCCACTACACATAGGCAAACAACCCATTCTCGTGACCGAATGTGGGCTACCCATTCGTTACACTAGGTCATGGGGCTCGCCGCCGAAACTGAAGTAACGCGTTGCGGCTACTGAGGCCATGTAGAGACTTGTTTGGACAATAAACTACCATTTGTTGCGTTTCGCTGACTGTTACTTGGCGTGTTCTCAGTAGCCGCAGCGCGCTCCCCCTGCCATTTGTGTTTCTTTTTGGACACCGTAGTATGTCTACGTTTAGGACAGACAACTGTAACATATTATCCATCCTTAACGATTCATCCAACTAAGCGTCCGAACTGGTGTTATTGAGGATGACGTGGCTCAGAATGTGGAAGAAAGAGATGTTTTATTCACTCAGATCTGACAGTGACCCACAAGGCTTTGCGAATCAGACATTAGAAGCAGCACCGATGATGTTACCCAGCTCGACAACGAAACCTATGCAACTAAAATGCCAAGTTCGGAGAACAATATAACCCTCTCGCCTAAATGGATAATTTCAGTCTGTCTTACTGATTGAGTTGTAGCGCAGAGGTGGAAGATCCAAACCGCTCTGATTGTCGCTAATGTTGTTGTGGGGCTAGGCGATTGTTCTAACCACATGAATAAATATACTCATGATCCATAAAAGTGAGCATTTACGTTTTAATTGTCACCTACTAATTGGTCTTATGTTGTGTTTGCGAGAACTTTTTCGGTTAAAGTTACTTGAAAAATATCGTCGCTCGGTCCGAACCACAACATACACAATTCTTTCAATCAAAACAATGATTGTGTTGATTTCCTTGAATTCACTTTTCTACATTCTCCTTTTCCATTTTCCCCCACCCTAATCAATACAGGTCTTGAGCTATAGCGGTCCAACCAACCAACGAACCTACTCGGTTGGGGTGTTCTTCCGCGGTCAGCGTTTGGCCACCGGCACAGGTCGGTCAGTACAACAGGCACAGATGGAAGCAGCCAAACGTGCTTTGGAGATACACCAAGGTAACGTCTCCCCCACTTCACACCTCCCTATGGATTCGCGTTTGTCCGAGCTTCGCCGAAGTGGAAGTATAAGAGTACATCTGGCGATCTAAATCATGTCTACCGTATGATATGTGGTCCGGCTAACTTCCGGTCGGCCAAGAGGACTAGTTCCTCTAATTATCGGAGTTTTGTTTTTCGAATCTGTGTATTTCATTAACGCATTGTGTGTATCGTCTACCTTCCTCAAGCCTTTCTATCACGAAGCATGGGTTCTCGAAACTACACCACTGTCGTTCGGTTAACGGATATCCGTACACATGGTTTCCAGGCGGCTACGCCATTCATCCATTCAGCGGTGGGAATATGTGCAATCAAGCTAGCGTTCAGTAACATTATGGACATCGTCTTCTCTAAAAGTACCCATCTGTTCTCCCTAAACTTGGTTTTAAAATGCCGGATTCTGCAGAGCACAGTCTTTTTCTTGGTAACGCGCCATATCTTTCACAATGCAAGTCATTTGCACAATTGGTTGATGGTGACCTATTTTTCCGTTCCGCAAAATCTTGAACCTATCTCCATATCTGACATACTAC